TGTATATGTATATTGTATATTTTTCAAAATGTTACAAACAAAATAAAACATTCATAATAATAATTAAAATTTGTATATACATAAACTCAAACTGATTTCTCTCTGTCAACATCATTCATAATATTGACGTCAACAACATAACATCATTCACATTTTGTAATTTTTAAACTGGGCACATTAAGCAAGAAGGAATACGCATGTCAACTGAAACCTTTCAGGATTTGGTGTCGTCAGCAGCGGATTCAAGCAGGACAGTCGATTGCACCCTTCCGCATCAATGTTAGAAATTAAAAAAAAAAAACTGGGAAAACATTACATTAAAAATGTAAGTTTAAGAATGTCTGGCCCAGCAACTCAAATTAATTGATGCACCACATTTTGCATCATTGTCAAAAGATCATTGAGGTTATCCAGCGTCTGATTCCTGAAAATGAATGAATAACACGATTTTGGCACTCAGGTCCTCAATAAACTTCGATCTTGATACTAAATCAGTAGGCCTACCTTGTGAAAAATCACAATCATAGACGATTAAGACCTGTTTTGTCCTACAACATCCGGGAGCTTTTGTAACATTTGAAAGTATTTTCTTTCTATTATTTCTCGTTCATGCCTTTCAAAATTCGATTCACATTCTAGTTTATTTAAGGCAGATTTAAACTCCTGAATATTGATTTGTAAAACTTTTGTCTCGTTTTCACTCGCTGTCAAACGTGTACATACATCGAGTAGCTGGTTGTCGTTGTATTCAATCGTACGTTCTAAACCAATTATCTTGTCTCAAATAATTCCCGTTACTACGCAAGCATCATTGTCAAAAGATCATTGAGGTTATCCAGCGTCTGATTCCTGAAAATGAATAAAATGATTTTGGCACTCAGGTCCTCAATAAACTTCAATCTTGATACTAAATCAGTAGGCCTACCTTGTGAAAAATCACAATCATAGACGGTTAAGAGCTGTTTTGTCCTACAACATCAGGGAGTTTTTGTAACATTTGAAAGTATTTTCTTTCTATTATTTCTCGTTCATGCCTTTCAACATTAAATTCACATTCTAGTTTATTTAAGGCAGATTTAAACTCCTGAATATTGATTTGTAAAACTTTTGTCTCGTTTTCACTCGCTGTCAAACGTGTACATGCATCGAGTAGTTGGTTGTCGTTGTATTCAATCGTACGTTCTAAACCAATTATCTTGTTTCTCAAATCTTTCCCGTTACTACGTAAGCAATGCATTTCCGATGTTAACTTCCTATTTGTTTCCACCAAATCTTGATTTTGTTTTTCTTTCCGTTGACTTTCTTTCATGATTTGATGGTATATTTCTTTGTCCTTGCGTTCTATTGTAAAAAATGAACATGTTTTATTCAGTAAAGTAATATTTAAAATAGACTCGACACGACAATGGCCTAGGCCTATTGCTTAGGACAGACATTATTTTTATTTCAACTATTGAAAATAATTTTATAAAATTAAAAGTAATGAATTATTTATGTATTGCTTTAAACTAGTAATGTTGGCATGTGTTTGTTGTTATTGTCTTTTTTTATTTTTTGTGTCCCCCCCCCCATATTATATTATATTAACACCCATCAGCTCTCGGGGGAGATGCTATCCAGGATTCTGCCATGATGCCCTCAAAACTCTACTAACGGTCTTGACATTTCGGTCAAATTGACCAATGCTGATTTAGGCCCTATAAAAAATATTATTAGTTTATCACCCTATCTGTGCAGGAAAAGTGATGAGGGAGGCTTTTTTTAATTTTTTTATTTTGCTAAAGCAAAGTATAACCCTTGGTTTGTTTGCTGGTGCATTGATACTAACTATTTAATAAAATAAATGAAAAAAATAAATAAATAAAATTTAAAAAAAATGTTCAAAAAAAAAATTGTTCTACATTTTTTTTTTCAGTACCATAAAAGGCATGCGCGCGAGGGTGATAAACTAATAATTTTTTTATTGGGCCTTATAGTGATTGATTAACGCATGTTTCTTGTTAAATCAGGGTCACTATAACAACTCCCTGGTTAAATTAAAGGCCTACTTTAGCTCTATAGTACTCACTTCGTTCTCTGTACTTTGGGCAAAACCTCTTTGAAATTTTCCACATCAAACACATTAATCCAAAACATAAGCAGTGACAGAATGCACTTTGCATCAGATCGTTAGGACAACTCAACATGTTGACTGCTAAGTTGACGACCTCTGCGCTACTGTTATGAATGAAACCCTGCATTATGAACAGCGATTATCACAGCTGATGAATGGAGTAATGACACTCAAACGCGACGAATTTTAAAACATAGTCGGCCAATACGTCCACTTTTATATACACGTTCGTATTAATTAAGCATAATCAATGTTTGTCTTAGAAACGGCAATCACTGAATCAAATGCAAAATTTAAGTGAAAAGATATACTGTAATTCGATCACGACCAATCCACAACAGATCCTGTTAGCAAATCCACTGACTGTACGTATATACACTACATTACATGAGACAATCAACCTAGCCGTCAGCCAATATAACTTCGTCTCACATGACGTCATTATAGGGAGCTTTTGTAAAAACAGTATATTTGGTGTTTTGTCTTGTTATATTGCGATTGACAATTATTATAGCAATAGTATAAATAATTTAGAGGATATGTTTTCATATTATCAAGTACAAACAAAAAGAATTATAAGTCATAATATTCTGAACTATTTTTTTTATAGTGGATTTGTATTCTCCACGTAGGCCCTACTACTTTTGATAAAAATAGATTACAGTAGTTCTATTATTAGCATTACAATACTGTCGTGTCTATTGATATAAGCATTTGCTAAATTGATTAACATTGTTTCTCTCGTCCTCATAAAGGTATTCGAGACTAACTATAACTTGAACGATTGAAAAACCTGCATGCTATATGACGATTATTACAGAAATGTTCAAGATTCGTATGAGAGATAGTACCGAATTGTACATAGGCCTAGGCTTTGTTGACTAAATGTTAGCTTAAAACAACTCACAATGGCAGGCGAAATCTGGAACATTGGGATACTCAATCCAGAGTTATTTCAGAGCAACTCACTCAATTTTTTTTCTCATCATACGATCAGGGAGTTGTTATTTAGATATACGATATTCTAGATAATAAGCTGGAAAGTAATCTCTATAAATATCGTATACAAATTAATAAAATTATTAATAACAATAAATTACAGAGTAATGGCAAGAATAGTGTGAAATCCAGCTGCTGATGCGAAATTGAATTCAACTTTGATTTTGTTTCAGATGCCCTCAAGACATTATTAATTAATAACTTGCTTCAGAATTTATATGATAAGACAAAAAACCTATATGCCACACAAAATCTATTAGCCAAATCAAAGGAGGATGTATCAGGAATAAAAGATGAGTTAAGATATATGACCATACTAATTGAAGAGGAAAGGGTACTTCATAAAGAAACCAAACAAAAATTGGCAGATGTCACCAAGAAAAATACTAAACTAAGTATATCATATAACGAAGAATGCTTAAAACGTAAACAAGCTGTGGCTGAAACGGCTAAGCTCAGAAAAGCGGAGAGATTAAGTACTGTAGGTCTAAACTGTATGAGAAGGAACAAATGGTGTCAGATTTTACCAAGAAATATACTGAACTATCTAACCTATATAAGGAAGAATGCTTAAGCCACAAAGAGGCTGTAGATGAAGCAATCAAGCTCAGAAAAGCTGAGAGACTATGTATGTCTAAGCTGTATGAAAAAGACACAAAGCTTGCCGAAATGGAGGATCATATACAGAGTTCTACACGTCGCCTGGAAACAGCAAAGAGGATAGAAGAAGTTTGTATAATAGAAAAAGAAATGGCTGATAAAAAGAGGGATACAATTGCCAAGGATTTTGAAGAGCTTAATAACAAAGTGGCTGACGAAAGGGAAATTCATCGAGTCCAGGTGACGTATATATTAATATTTCAATATTGACGTCAAATTTTGGCCTAACATCATCACGAAAAGTAAGGTTAATCCCCATACCAAGAGTTCCTTTTGGCTATGCCGACAGCGTCTCCTAACGTCTCCTAGTTGGTCTTATTGAGAATATTGCAGGCCTTCACCTTTACTTATTTAAATATATTAGAAACTTCCAAATTTGCTGCTTTATTATTGAAACTTACTCAAAAATAATAATAGAAATAAAATTTGTTCTTCTTTCAGGTGTCCAAAAATGAGTTACTTAATAAAAAGTATGTGTGTCTCAAGTGGCAATACATATATATTTTATGCAGCAAACGTGGATCGAATATCAAGGAATATATCTTTGCAATCAAAAGCTTTGAGAAGTGTATCATGCGTTTTTTAATTTCCATTTTCTTTATTTGGTATTTTACTACTGTACTAGTTATATAGCGTCAGGTGAAAATACAAAAAAACAATACAAACCCAGCTCGCGCAAGGAAATATCAAAGAGGCCTAATGTAACAAATACACGCATGCATAAAATATAAAATTGGCATGAGTTAAATTAGAATATACAAAAAGTAGGCCTTGTATACGAAAATGAAATTTCCAAAACAACTGACCAGACAATTTTGAAAATTTCGGGATGTTTGCCTCGGGAAGATTGTCGCACCAAATTGCAACGAGTTACAATAGAAGCAGGTCAACTCAGCCCCAAGTCATCTCGGCCCCTGTCAACTCGCCCCCAATTCAACTCGGCCCCACATCAACTCTTTCCATTTACGATAATAAAAACAACATTAATAAAAATAATATTAATAAAAAAGGCATAATATAAAAACTAATATAGGCCTATATAATGTAGGCTACATATAAATGTTTATATATAATATATCATTAAAATGTATATGAACGTTATTATGTAATGTATATATACCTAAGGATAGGCCTAGGTCTAAATATTGGTTTTCTCCACTTTTAGGTACCATACTTATGAAGTTTAGGAACACTTAAAATTGTTTCTACACTTCATACGTATGGTACGGTATTCGTTTCTCATATTACCGTATATATTGTTTACATATAAAGATGGTTTCAATGATTTTTATACATACATATATACACACATATGTACAGTATATATACGGTTTATATATATATATATATATATATATTTAGCCTATATATACATTATATAGGCCTATATATATTTATATATCTATAAATTTGTGGAATGTGTATATATATATATATATATATATATATATATATATATATAGATTAAAAGGCAAAATACTGGAAAACAACAATGCTGTGGGAAACAATGGCTGGATCTCAGTAGAAATACAAAAATGATAAGCAACAGCTAAAAAGTAAACGTAAGTAAACAGCCAGAAATAGAACCAGAGCTTTCGGACAACACTAGTCCTTCCTCAGTGGCGAGTGAGTGAGGGTTGAAAAAGCC